TTGTGTAGTTATACGATAAATAAGAACGTCGAAAGGGTGAATAACTTCAAAATCGTACCTTGGTATTTTTGAAGAATTTCTTGGCAGTTTCAAGATTACCATTTATAAAGAAAGTGATCATACCACCAAAACCTGACATTTGTTTCTTCGCTAGTTCGTGTTGAGGATGTGATTCGAAACCTAAATAAAACACGAGCATCTTCTCAATATTCCCAACTATGATATAACACCTCATTAAATTCTGGTCATATGAGATAACGTCGTATGGAATAAAAACTACCATTTTGCTGAGCGTGCAATGGACAATGGTGCGTTTTAATTTTTTTTTATTATATATGAACAATGTAACTGAGGTATTAATTGTTTAGTATTTAATTCAATGAAAATTCGACAAGATTGATCTATATCGGTGTCATATAAAACAAATAATGTTTTCATTCGTGCAATAGTAAAAAAAATTCATTCGGCGAAAGATGGAATTTTCCATTCCACTTGGGTGTCGCCTCGTGGAATGGAAAATTCGATCTTTTACCTCATGAAAATATTTTTACCATTGCACACATAAACATTATTTATACAATGTGTATTAATTTGTATGGTAGCTATCTCGCAGGTTGTTCAGATATCAAGAAATAGCGAAAACACGGTAAGTCTTAACTGCAATTTGCAGATTGCAGGAAATGATTCAGTGGCGCAATCGTCAGAGCATGCGTCTTTCACCTCTGAGTTCGTGGGTTCTATTCTCGCTACGGACTCATGTGAAAAGAGTCAGTCAACACTCTGCCGAAAGTCGTGGGTTTTCTTCGGGTGCTCCAGTTTCTTGCCACAGGGAAAATTGACAGGTTGGGTTAGGATAGACACAGTTAGGAACGTAATATCTCAATTGTTGTAAAGATAAATAGTCTAGGCCTAGTAACATAAGTAAGCGTAATACTTGATGTAATCGGTAACTGAAAAGCCCCAATGGAGAGTGTGCTGAATAATTTAGCCAAACGTCGTCTTGATAATTGCATTGACTAACTTACATTACTCTGCAAGCCTGCATTTTAGAACCTCCAAGTGATTTAAAAGTAAAACTACATGTTATGCAGAGGACTGTGGACGGGAGGGTGGCGGAGAATATCATGGGTGCGTAAGGAAATGTTTCAAGATTTTAACTTATATTAGCCTCCGTAGCCGGCGGTTTTAAGGGTTAGGATTGAGGCGCGGGCAACGAAAATTAGGTCGTTGCCCGCGCCTCAACCCCTAACTTATATTGGATAAAGCAATTAATGTTTACAGTCGTGCCAATAGAAGCGTTCCGAAAAATGTTGACCAATTCATTTCCTAACTTGAAGGAACACCTCTGAACAATTCCTCAACAATTTGATAAGTTCCTTAAAAAGTTCCTAAATTCCTGTTTCATTCACCAATCAAATTTTATATTATATTTTTGAGCAATCTGATTGGTCAATGAAACAGGAAGTTAGGAACTTTTTAAGGAACTTATCGAATTGTTGAGGAATTGTTCAGAGGTGTTCCTTCAAGTTAGGAAATGAATTGGTCAACATTTTTCAGAACGCTTCTATTGGCACGACTGTAATCTAAATAAAAAATATAGTGTTTAAAAAAATGAAATGGTGGGGATACGAGCCATTTGTATTCTACATGCAGTGTATGCAACGCACTTTCAAGATTCAATTCGTACGATGTAATGACAAATGTCTTTACAGATGAGATGAACTATCTTTCGACCAATCACAGTTTGTTAAACATTTTTGTATAGTTGTTACAGATTTTTGGATTAGTTGCACTGACATTGTTGTTGCAGATTTCTTGCACTGCTTGGGTAACATTTTCTAGTATATTGTTATTATTGTTGTTATAGTGACAGTAAAATATAGCGCAAATGACGAATCTTACAGTCACTCTCGTATTCAAATAATCTAAATCTTTGTAAAGTTGTGACGTTAAACTACGTATACCTGGATAAATCACTCTCTCAACATGTGGTGAGGAATTCAAAAACTTTGCCACTTCGAAAGCATTCTTCTCGTGTTCACGCATGCGTAAATGTAACGTCTTTACACCACGTAATGCTAAGTAGCAACTGAATGGTCCAGGAACACCACCCATAGCTGGTAAGAAATGCAAGAAGAATATAAGTTGTAAACAAAAGTACATACTAAGTTTACCACTGCATACTTAGTGTCAGCAAATGTGGGACATTTTGTTGGCTCCATGGCCTCATGCTAACTGTAAACTTGGCTCAGAAATAATTAACAGTTATTCTGCGAACTCGAGTTGAATATGAGCTGATATGAATTTGTGGGAGTTTTTTCATTGTGTTTTTAATCCTGTAAAGGCTATAAAAAGTGAACAACTTGCCGTTTTCTCGTTCGCAAAACGTTGGAAATTCAGTTTGAGCCGCCATTTTATTTTTCTCTACTAGCAGGATAAGAGCTATAAATATCCTGCTAGTAGAGAACCAATCAGATTGCAGAATACCTCATATCCAGACCTTGTGTATATAATAATAGATATTAGTATTTTTGCACAAGTGAACATAACAAATCCTACACGTTGATTGGTCAAATTTGACGTAATAAGCTGTTATATTCACCTACATGTGAATATAACAAAACAGAAATTTTCAAAATGGCGGCTACCCGTTTTGTGGAAGTTTACTGACAAAGAAATAAGCGAAATTAAAATAAATTCAGTCTCAAAAAACACAAAAGCTTGTGTAAAAATACTAAAACAATTGTTAATTATTTATATGACTTGCCTTTAGATTCTTTCAACTTGTTATTAGTTACGTGTTACGAAATCATATGACTGTAAAAGGCAATGTAAAGTCTGAAGACATTTAAATTATGACATGTCACCAGGAAAAATGCTCCCCCTAGGCTCCGGCACAGCCCAAAGGTGATGGACTTTCCGCATGGTCTATTAAATCATTGTTGGCCTACCCAAGAATAATTGCGCCTCATTTTAATGGCAATTCTTTCGCTTTTAAAAGCGAATTTGTTCATCACTGCCTGCATGAGGGCTTACCAAATATTTAAAAACCTGGATATAGCCTACCGCATCCTAGGTCTAGGACCTTTACTTGGCTGCTTTCGCAGGTTTGGTCAATTTTGGTCTAGCATTTGGAAAATCTTCCCTTGTGAAAAAGCGCTGAAATTAATTAAAAACAGAAGCCTATAGGCTACTGGGCTTGACATACCGCAATCTAGGATGACACCCAAACACTGACGATCGTGATAATTACCGTTTTGTAGAAAACGTAGCTTCTCGTGAATGGCGTCGTCATTCGTCCCAATAAATCCCATCACAACATCTGCATGACCTACAGATGGTATAGGAAAATATTTTTAAATATACAGGGTGTTAATTTAAACATTTACAAGGTGTCCCAAAAAATGCAATAGCTATGTTCCAGATTTTCACACAGCTAGCTATTAGTGAGAATCGAAATTAATTTTGACACTAAGATTATAAGTCAAAAACCAAAGAATGGCTGTTTTTATTAAACCTATATTTAAAATACATACTTAACACAACTGAAAATTGGTATAACTAATTTTGGTGCATAAGCACGCTAGTATATGAGCTGGCTCATGAGATACCAAAATAAGTTATGTTCATAAGCACGCTAATATATGCATATATGAGCGTGCCCATGAGATACAAAAATAAGATATGCTCATATAAGCACGCTAATATATGCATAGATGAGCGTGCTCATCAGATACCAAAATAAGGTATGCTCATAAGCACGCTAGTATATGCATATATGAGCGTGCTCATCACAGGGAGCAGAAGAGACGACTTTATCTAGTAAAACAAGACAAACACCGTCTTACCTTGTTAATTGTAATATATTTCATTGTAAAATCCCAATGTGTGCATTAAAAATGCACACAGTAACAGTATTTATTCATCAAAATTATCGAATACAAACCAAACTATTTACCAAAACTAGCCTGCGTCGCATGCGGTGGGTGAAACTTTGGGACAGTAAGTTTATTATCTCTATTGACCAATGAGATAGCAGATAAGAACGACTGAGAGAAAGAGTGAATCACAGGCGATTATCCCATTAAGCGCCAGCGCTCTCCCCTTGACGAGTAAAATCGTCTGGCGTTAGACAGAGTAAAATCGTCTGGCGTTAGACAGAGTAAAATACTAAAGTAGGGTGCATCAGGGTGCAATGCGACTCAATGGGGTAACTAGACACACGGGCAGATAGGTCAGTTAATCCATTAAGCACCAGCGCTCTCCCCTTGACGAGTAAAATCGTCTGGCGTTAGACAGAGTAAAATACTAAAGTAGGGTGCATCAGGGTGCAATGCGACTCAATGGGTTATACAAAATACTGCAAAACAGGGGGGTCATGAACAAGAATATGGTCGCTGGATCGCAGACGGTTAAACTTACCGTCCCAAAGTTTCATCCACCGTCTGCGACGCAGGCTACCAAAATATGAATTTCAATATTAATATACTCCGCTGCCTTGAATTACCGTAGACTCGTATTTTCCGAAAAGCTAACGAACACTGCCCGAGAGAGCAACGAATATTGTTAGTCTAATTCACTGGTCTAATTTAAGCGAAATGTGAGTCCACAATAATCTACAACAGCGGAGTATATCATTTGGTGTTCATGTTACACGAAGTACGAATATACAATCATAAAATGTTTAACCACAGAGGAAGTATAACACGGTGTTTGTCTTATTTTACTATGTAGATAAACTCGACTCCTCTGCTCCCTGAGATACCAAAATACGGTATGCTGATAAGCACGCTAGTATATACATATATGAGAGTATGAGATACCAAAATAAGGTATGCTCATATATTAAAGCACGCTAAATGTGAGGATGCTCGCGGCATTGTGTTGTCATATGTGTTGAAGACTACCACAAACTGACACAAACACAGTTTTTAGGGGCCGATTACATGGAGCATTTTCAACCCCGGGGTTGAACTCAGCCCTGTTGACCGAGATGAAATTTCAGCCTTGTCTGTACTCAAACGCGTGATTACATGACAAAATTTTCAACCCAGGGCCGAGTTCAACCCGGGGTTGAAATTTCAACCCTGCTTCAGTTAGCACTCGGCCCTGTGTTGAAAACTTTGTCATGTAATCGTTTCAACCCAGCGGGATAAAATTATTCATGAGTTATTCGAGCATGCGTGGTAGTGACTATTTATTACAAGAAAAATTTCCCGCTTTTTTTACTTCCGGGAATCAATGCCGTAACGTATGGCATTTCAACCCCGTGGTTAAAATCGCCCATGTAATCGCAAAAAATTTCAACCCAGTTAACAGGGCTGAGTTCAACCCCGGGGTTGAAAGTGCTCCATGTAATCGGCCCCTTAATCCAGACCCGCCCCCCCCCCTCGGCAATAATTACGCTCTCTATTGTGTTGAGAATGCTTTTAAAAACATTTTATTTACTCATTACACTAGGCACAATAAACAATCACGTATACAAACCATTAAGGTACTTGGTGACAGAATGAATAACAATATCAGCGCCAAGTTTTAACGGATTCTACATTAGAGAGAAAGTTTTTATACAAAGTTTTTCTGGCGTGACTGACACAAACTGTGACAGTTAGAGCTCACATTTAGGTGTCAGGATATTCCAAGCCCGCTGTATGTCCACCCAGAACCTTTCATGGCCTTAACTCAATTCCAATTCAATTGTTTTAAAATTTTAATTAACTATCCAGCCATCATGGTTTGAAAACATTGGTACAGCTTGCAGTCTTTAACATAACTATTAGGCGCGGGTAGTGGCCCGCGCTCTCCATCCCTTTACAGTACGCTTCTAGGGGGCTGTGGGGCCAATGGTCCTCAAATAATTTTGTTGGGTGGGGGAGGGTGGCAGCCCCTACTAATTTTGTTAAGAGACAATTTTCTTATACAAAACGCAACGGCAAAACTACATTGTCTCAAAGAAACGCCCGCGTACCTTTCTGCTGTTATACAGACATATTTAGCGCGACCCCCCCCCCTCCCGTAGTGCCACTACGCAGACTAACAATATTTTAATGGAACATGCTGTCGTTTAAAATTGAAAATTCCCCCGCCTAAAACAAAATTACGTTCCGCTGCCCCTGATATATACCTTCAAGCATTGTTACCTGCCAAAGTTTGAACAAACCTGAAAGTATGGTGACATAAATGTATTGTCTACAACAACCATAATATCCTATGAAACAACGAAAGTTCGTTAGAAATCACTCGCAGTGCGACTACGAGATTACTACAATACCACGTGCCCTTTACTAGCTCATGCATGTAACATGTTAACCGGTCAAACGTGAGGGATATCATGTATTTTGGTCTTCGTCAAAATAATTAATTCGGGATAACATGAGTAGTTTGTAAGTGTACGTTTGGCGGCGGAAGTGACGTCAGCAGTTTTAGGATCCAGCGTAATTTTCCCAACCATATGAGGTCAGCACTTTTAGGGTAGGTGTGACGTCGTTTTTGGAACATTGAGATGCATGGCGTCAGCAACTATATTTGTCGCATAACATTTGTCGCATAACATTTGTCGCATAACTTTGTCGCATAACATTTGTCGCGTGATCTTTTGTGATAATACTGAGATGGCGTCAGCGAGTGTATAAAAAAGGGGATTTTTAGTAAAAGTCATTAATAAGAGGTCATTAACGACGGGACAAGCCTGATTTTGTACGCCTCTTAACAAAAGAGGGATTGCATATAAATATCCCAAACCAAATGGTATTTGTCATACTGATTTTGTATGACTCTAAAAATGGAATACAATGCCTGAAAATGTGAACGATGTGAAGAATTTGGCCCGAACACTACAAAACTACCACTACATTATACAAGAAGAGAAAGTACGATAGAGTTCGAGGACACTAGGTGTGATCATGGATTGTAAAATAACTGGATAGGAAACTAACTGACGTCACAGTCTAAACCTACACACGTAAAAACGCACAAGTTGTAACAAACTTGCAGCAGGCTTGTAGCAATGCTGTTCCAACAACTTGTCAACAGGATGTGTTCGCACTGCTTGTTCCCAGCTTGTCGACAAGTTGTCAACAGCTATCTCGTAGAGGAAGAATTTAACAACGAGGTAACCTCTTTAAATGAAAGTATTAGTTTCTCTGTAATGCATTTGAACACGAGGAGCTTGCTTGGTAATTTTGACAAATTCAGAATTTTGCTGGCTAATCTGCAAAAATCATTGCCTGTACGTGTAATAGGAGTATCTGAAACCTGGCTTAACGATCTCACTTCAGATCAAGTGAACATTTCTGGGTACAATTTTGTTTCTAACCACCGTAATTCAAAAACCGGAGGAGGAACTGGTTTGTATATACAAGATAGTTTGAAATATAAGTTACGCCCTGAATGTACTTTTTCAGATCCTGATATAATTGAATCGGTGTTCGTCGAGATTGATATCCCGCATGGAAAAAACATAGTCGTGGGCTCAATTTATCGACCTCCTAATCAAAATATGTCACTGTTTGTTGACAAGTTAAACGAAATTCTTGGCATAATTTCTAAGGACAATAAGCACTGTTATGTAATGGGCGATTTTAACTCAGATTTGCTTCATTACAATAACCATGCACATACTCAGGAATTTGTCGACAGCTTATTTTCATATGCATTTTATCCACTTATTTCTAAACCAACACGTATTACTTCCCATTCAGCAACATTGATTGATAATATTTTTACAAACCATGCAGCCTTCTAAATGCAGCTTTAGCGCTATTATTTTAAATGATTTATCTGACCACCTTCCAATAGTGGCATGTTTTCACGATGAATTGCCTCCAAAACGAGATGAAAAAATACTTAAACGCTCTTTTAATACAAGTGACGTGAATAAATTTCGGGACCTCCTTTCCCACATAGACTGGTCCAATATTCTCAATGTGCCGAACGTTAATGATTGTTACAATGTTTTTATAAATGAGTACACGAGGCTGTTCGAAACCTGTTTCCCGCTAAAAGTCGTTAAACGGAAACATTCTGGTAACCAAGGTGCTCCTTGGCTAACAAAAGGATTGCTAAAATCAATTAAAAAGAAGAATAGGCTTTATAAACAATTTATCAAAACACCAAATTCCATACGTGAATCACGGTATAAGATTTTCAGAAATAAACTC